ACAATTGTGTCTTTAGATCAGTGGTTCTCAAAGTTTAGGGTGCATCACAATCATCACGAAAAGCTTGCTAAAAATGATTTTTGGGGGCTGGCTGGTTAGCTCAGTTACAGCATGGCCTCGTAACACCAAGGTCAAGGGTTCAGATCCCCCTACCAGCCGGCTGCCAAAAAAGAAAAAAACAAGATTGTTGGACATCATCCCTGAAGCTTCTGATTCAGTAGATCTGCAGTGAGGTCCAAGAGTTTGCATTTCTAACTCGTTTCCAGGTGATGTGACTCTGCTGGTCTGGGGGACCACACTTTTGAGAACCACTGCTCCAGATTATAGTTCCTTCCGAGTAGGGCCAATGAAATAGCACTAACAGATACTCAGTAAATGTGCTGAATGCATGCATGAATACAGAAATAAATAGGAGAGGGGGACATGAAATGGAAGAAGATAACCCAGATAATAGGAAATAAAACAAGTTCTTCCCTTTCTTTGCCTTTGCTTTTGCTATTAGCAAAATCTGGTATAGAAGGTCTCACATAAGCACAGCCTGATTTCTCCCCTTCACACCTTGCCTACCAAATTCTGTAATTTGAAGTTTTTAGTATTTTTCATTCATTTGTATAGCATCCTAGCCCCATCCTAAATCGATTCTCTCTAGATGCCTCTTTCAGCCTCATCACTAATCCCTACATAAAGATTACCGTGATCCAGGCATTACTGTTTATCCTAAGTGAATTTTTAATATTTACTCTTAGAATCATGGGATATTACAGCAGGAAGCAGGTCTTACAGATTATCTGGATGTTTCCCCAAAGCTAGGGAGAAGGCACCTATGGGATGCATTTGTAGAACATGTACAGACAGCACCCAGCACCCACAGGGACCGCTCTGCTATGTCTTGCTCTCTCTCCAGGGCCTGATAACACTCCTAGAGAAACTGGCCCATTTCCTTTATTCTAATACTGAGGTGCATAACAGTTCTGATCAATAATTTTATTATATTTTGGACCCATATTTTTTCTAAAAGAGGGCACCTTTAATGTTATAATCACTAGGAGAGGCTCATCCATTTGTTCAATACTGAGTGTATGTGATAACACAGAATATACCATGACAAAACAGCCTTGACCATTCAAGAGGCTTAAAATCCATTGACTTAAACAACTAAACATATCTTTTTAAAAGTGTTGTTAGTCCTGGAGGTGTGCACAGTGTGCCTGAGCAGCACAACAAAGGGACAACTCTTTTACTTGGAGATGGAGATGGTGTCACTCAAGTATGTCAGGACAGGGCTGGCAGGTTAGCTCAGTTGGTTAGAGCATGGCGTTGGTAACACCAAGGTACCAGCCAGCCACCAAAACAAACAAAAAACAAAACAAAAAGATTTGCCAGGACAGCCTTACTAGAAATTAGCTGAAGCGCAGGCAGGATGATGGGCAGTCTCCAAGAAATCTGCCATAACTGGAGCTGAAGGTGTGTTTTACAATGCAGAATTTGACCTTTATCCTGGAAGTAATTCAGTCAACTAAAGATATAGATAGGGAAATGATATGAAAAGAATTATGCTCATATAAGACTACAAGCCTAAAAAAATGATTTGTTATATATATATATATACACACACACATTTTTTTTTTTTTTTTGCAGTACAGGGATCTGAACCCTTGACCTTGGTATGATCAGCACCATGCTCTTCCAAGTCAGCAAACCAGCTGGCCCAAGATCTGTTATATTAAGGATACATTTTTCTTCACTATGCCTTTATCTGATTTGGAGCTGAAAATATGTTAAGTTCCAATCCAGGCTAGTACAAACCCCTGGAGGGTGCCTGTATATGCTCAACAGATTCAAGAGAATATAAAAGAAACAGCATACAACTTAATACTTTAGTGACTCACGTGATAATTAGAATTGAGTATTCCAACTATTAGCTCTATACTGAAGGGGTCCAGAATACACCTCTAAGGCATAAAAATTATTTTGAGCAAAAGGCATTTGGTTCTTGAAATCCCTATCTGCCTAAAAGCCCAGCCTTTCAAAAGAACTCAATTGTCATAAATCCCCTAAAGGAGAGCAAGCAGGGAAGAATGACTTTTATCACCCAAGACAGTTAAGTGGGCACCACACCTAAACTGACATTGTCACAAAATTGTATCTCCCATCTATACTCCTAAGGGCCCATTTATCTTTCTTAAAAATCATTTGTTTTCCCATAAGTACCCTTCCCCCCGCCCAACCCCACATGTTTCATATTAAGGTGGTGTATAATCCCCAAATTATTCTATCCACCTTTTTTTTTTTTGCAAGTTAGCAATTTTTCTCATTTATTTTTTATTGAAATGTAATTGATTATATATATTTGTAGGGTACAGATTTGAATATCAATACATGTGTACAAAATGTAGTGATCAAGATAACTAGTATACTCATGTTTACAAAATGTAATCAATATTTGTGACCCTTAACTAATTTCTCACTAACCTCCTCCTCCTCCCCGACCTCTAATAACCAGGGTTTTTTTTTTGGAAAGTTCAGTGTATTATGGTGACTGTTTTTCTTCTCTTTCTTTTCTGGGTCATTTTTGAAAGTTCAGTGTATTATGGTGACTGTTTTTCTTCTCCTCTTTCTTTTCTGGGTCATATTTTCGTGAACTCTCATATGTATGTGATTAAATCAGTCTTTGGAAAGTTCAGTGTATTATGGTGACTGTTTTTCTTCTCTTTCTTTTCTGGGTCATATTTTCGTGAACTCTCATATGTATGTGATTAAATCAGTCTTTTTTCTTGCATGTCTCTTCTCAGTGTAATTCGCAGGCCCCCAAGCATTGACCTAAGGAAAGGAAAAGTTTTTCTTCCCCAACAAAACGATAAATTCTTTACCAGTGAGAGAAATAGCCACTTAAGTTTAGACCAGTGGATCTCAACCACTGGTTTTTGTTGTTGTTGTTGTTGTTTTTAAAGATGACCGGTAAGGGGATCTTAACCCTTGGCTTGGTGTTGTCAGCACCACGCTCTCTCAAGTGAGCTAACCAGCCATCCCTATATAGGGATCCAAACCTGTGGCCTTGGTGTTATCAGCACCACACTCTCCCCAGTGAGCCACGGGCCGGCCCTTGTTTTTTAATTTTTAAAATCTCCTAAGGTGATTCTAACATACAGCCAGGGTTGAGAACCAATGATTAAACATAGTACTCTGTAATAAAGACATTAATTTCTTTTTCAGTTTATTATATATTACTTAACTTGTTGACTGTGGACTCAAATCCAAATACTAAATTCATATTTTTATTTTTCAAGTTGGCAACAAAGTCTTGAGCAAAGTGAATTAGCATCTTGTATATGACAGTATTGTAAGCCAGCTAATTAAAAGCATTATATAGCCACTTAAAATTGAAATAAGCTGGCCGATTAGATCATTCAGTAGAGCATGGCTCTGATAACATCCCCTTACCGGCCAGCTGCCAAAAACAAATAAAAAAAAAAAGGACTGGCAATATTTATAAAAACTCATTACCACAATTAGAGCTTCCTGAACTACTGAGCAATACTATCCTCAACAATAACTCTAACAATGAGAACAGATTTGAGAATAGAGCTATTTTAATCATTCAAAGAGCAAGCTCAGTTTCTGTTTCAAATTCTTTATTATACATCATGGTTGCACAATTTGAGGCTGCCTAAATACAATTGGTTTTCAAAATCTCTTTGGGTATTTTCTAGATTAATACATGCAAGTGACCATGAAAATATTTGGCATTTTTAAGTTCTGAAACTCTGAATAGGCACTTACATGAAGGAAAACATTACTATTTATAGATATCCACATTTAAACTAGATGCTCCAGCACAAGGTACATGGAACCTTTTGCCAGTAAAGAAGTTGGTTACTGACCATTTTATCCAAGTGCCATAGTAGTAAAATAGGTTTAAAGAAATGTAATTTGGGTTATTTAGCTTACTCATAAAGTAAGGTTAACTGACAAGACTTGCACTGAAGTGTATAAAAAAATATTGGTATAAAAACCAATGAGCCATAAGTAAAAGTAGTTTCTGTACAGCAGGCTTCATTTTAGTTCCTACACTCCGCATTTAGTGTATCTGAGATCTGACCCCATGAATATGAACAGATGACTGCAACCTTCTCTTTTAAGAGAATCTGAACAAATGAATTTAGTGTTAAAAAAAAATTTCAAGACTGGGTGAAGTTTAAATATGAGTTTGAACTAGCCCAAGTCCCAGTTTAATAAACATGAAATTGTCCAGATCTAGGTAACTACATGCTTTATAGGTCCTCCTGAGGCTCCCACCCCCAAATTTCCCCCCGAAAAGTAAAGAGAATAAATCTGTGAAGTCAGCGCTGGCTGGTTAGCTCAGTTGATTAGAACACAGTGTTGATAACACCAAAATCAAGGGTTCAGATCCCTGTACCAGCCAGCCACAAAAAAACAAAAAAGGGGGGGGGGGGGGCTTGGGAAGTCAAGAAAATATGGGCATACACATGGCAAAAAGATTCCTTAAATTTAAATATATGAGGGTACTTCCAAAAGTTCGTGGAAAAATAGAATTGAAAGATAATACAAATATTTCCATGAACTTTTATTTTGAAGTACGTATGTGTGTGCGTGTGCGTGTGTGTGTGTTTCAAAGTACTTACGAAAAGATGATATAGTTTCAACAAACTCTAAAATGCCAACAAGTCAACTCCACATTGCAGAAAACATACAATGGTACAACAAATAGTAGCAGCAAAATGGTTACTTGATGTGGGGGGAGAATAAAGGGAAGGCAACAATAACATGGCATGTATCTCTTGGGGAAAAAAATTTAAATATTCATACCACAGAAGACTCCAAAGACGATATAATTCAGGAAGCAATGGAATAGTAGACTCAGAATCACCTACAGTAAAACACTCCATATTCATTTCTCAAACACATATGTAAAAACAAATGTAGCTGTGAAAAATACTGAGATGCCATGTTTTAAATCTCTGCAAGATGTAAGAGCCACCCAGGTTTTCTAATTTTATTTAAACACACAATATTTAATTTTTTGCATGTAGAGTATAAGAGATAATCATTAGCATGAAAAGGGAGAGGAAAATCAACATTATGCAGAAGGAAAGCAAAATTACAAATACCAGCCTATGCACATGAAAATCTTTAATGTTTATGCTGATGCATATCTGAATGTTTATAATCAAAGTGTGCAGTAAAAAAAGGAAAAAAGTGGCAGCTTAAGAAAATTCCAGTGTTTCAAAGAAAGTACTTTTTAAAATGTATACATATATATATGAAGAACATTTGGTTACATCATAAAATAAACTCAGCGCTGTAAGATAAAGGAAGACTATTATATATGGAGTTTTGGCCTTCCCCGCCCCCACCCCCCCACATGTTGCAACCATCTTTAACCTGCTGAACTTAATCTCAACCGTTACAGGAGTTTTTGCTTTTCTTTCTTTCTCCTACTCAGTTCACATTTCAGGCTGTTCAGCAGATGCCTGTGATTCTGGAGATTCAAATCGCTGGTGAAAGTTTGTTCTCTGTTTCCTCAGTTTTTCAGGAGCTTTTCTCCATAAAATGATCTCCTGGTAAAACAAACAGAAGACATCAACAAATTAGTGTTCTCTATTATGCCTTAAATTTTCACCATGGAAATACTGACTGCTACTTCAATTTAACCATAATGAAATTAAATTCTTCCCTACAGAAGCCATCACCTTTTCTGACTGACCTACTTCCTTCCAGTTCTAGTCTTGGGCAGCCCCTTCTGCTTTCTCTCTTCCCCCAACCAGCACCTATGCACACCACCACACCTATCCAATCTGGCACAAAGCTTTAGCTATTACTGCTTTAAAGAAGTCCTAAAATCTGTCCTTTGGTTTCTGTTCCATTGCCCTCATCCAAGTTCAAGACCTTGACACTTCCACCTCAGATACTAAAATAGCTTGCTGGGAGATGGCTCTGCCTCACTTGCCCAAGGCCCCTTTCTAATTCATCTTTCGTATCAGTACCAGATTAATCTTCTAAAACATTGTTCTTCAATACTTCTCAGTGCCTCCAGAATAAATCTCCAAACAGGCATTCATGGCCCTCCATAACCTTCATCCAAATTGTACCTTCCCTAGGCTCCTCTCCCTCACCAACCAAACTGAGTTACTCTCTATCTGCCTCCACATAAGTCTTCAAATCCCTATTCCTCTGCCTATCTAAATCTTACTTAACCAATCCATCCTGAGATCTTCCCTCTTCTAAATTCCTAAAATTATTTGCTTCATAAAGTCATGACTGGATGGTTTTTGTAAATAAATCGGAACTTAAACATCCAAATGAGTGCCCATGGGAAACAATACACTTACTCCAATAGTAATAACCTGATATGCAATTGATTTTGACATTGTAAATATGTAATTTATTTTGAAGTTATAAATTACTTATGTTTAACTATACAGCATTATGGCAACATTACTGGAATAAATTTTCTCTCTTCTAAATTACTGTTAAACTATTATTTAAGTTTTCTGTTCATTATGTAATTTTTCTTTTTTCCACATATCTGCAATGTGAGGACCTGGAGGACAAACCATGTTTATAAAAGGTAGTTTTTGTATTCTTCACAGTACTTAGCACAGAATAATTACTAACTTAGTTTTGCACACTCAACTGACATTCAAATATTAATCTGACCCAGAATTTAAAAGACCATTCTTTTTTTTTTTCCTTTTTGTCTTTTTTCGTGACCGGCAACGGATTGCAACCCTCAGTGTTGCGCCCGCACCTCGCTCAGCCAGTGAGCGGCCGGTCTGTATGTGGGATCCAAACCCTCGGCGGGAGCGCCGCCGTGCTCCCAAGCGGCGCACTGTAGCAGTGCGCCACTGGACCGGCCCCTAAAAGACCATTCTAATCAAAACCTTCATTCAAAATTCACCAAAGGTTTTTAACTGATTTTCAAATGAGAAAAAGTTTTATGATAAACATATAAAAATAGGGCCGGCCCGGTGGCGCACTCAGTAGAGTGCGGCGCTTGGGAGCGCAGTGGCGCTCCCGCCGAGGGTTCGGATCCCATATAGAGACCGATCCGCTTGCTGGTTGAGCGCGGTGCGGGCGTGACACCGAGGGTTGCGATCCTGTAGCCGGTTGCGATCCTGTAGCCGGTCGCGGTACGGGCGCGACACCGAGGGTTGCGATCCCGTAGCCGGTCGCGGTACGGGTGCGACACCGAGGGTTGCGATCTCATTACCGGTCACGAAAAAAGACAAAAAGGAAAAAAAAAGTATTAGAACTGGGTTATCTCGTGGACATTTGTAACAGAATTGTTTAATAAGGGAAAAAATGAAAACCCAAAAATCTATCAAGTAAATGCAGCCATTAAAAGTGATAATGGAGATCTGTATTTGTTGATAAGAGAAATATTCAGAACACTATTGAGTAAAAAAGAAATTAAAGAACAACATGCATAATATGATTTAAACACACATATACAAATTTGTCTGGAAAACTAGTCACTATGTTAGATATTAAAACAGCTTCCTGGTTGATTACTCTGCCTGTTATTTTAGTATCTATTTGTTATTCTCTGGTAGAATTTCTGTTAACTTTCACTTCATTCTCTGTTCTTTAATGCCTGAATTTTCTTTAAACAAGCAGCAGGTATTGTTTTTATTAAAAAACAAAAAAAACCCCAAAAACCTTTTAAGAGAAAAATAAAAGCCTGACAAATTATAGCTCATTCTGGAGTCCTGCAGAATGATCAGGGAGGAATCTATCACAACACTATTTAGTTCTCACCTACTTCTTTATCAGACCCTCACTGTTTTCCGTTAGAAATTCCCACATGTTCGGTACGATAAAGCTGAGGAAAGTGACTGCTTTCTAGGTGTTTTTAGATTTGACACAGAATAAAATACCAAACTGGGTGATAACATACCTGCTGCTTGAAGTACCTTCTGTCTTCCTCATCAACAAGCACTAGATTCAAAAAGTACCTTACTGAAAATTTTTTGTTCACATCTCTCATTGTTGGAGTTGGATCATATCCCGCTAAAAATAGTCTTATTGGAATTGATTCACCTGAAAGAAAAATAATTTAATCACGTAACACTTAGAACTAAGCATTATAGAGTAGACACTAATGCTTCAGTTCCTCATGAGATGCAGGATAACGAAGACCAGGGTTTCTTAACCTTGGCACGACTAACATTTTGGACCTGATAATTCTTTTTTGTGGGGAAGTCCTGGTGCACCATAGGATGGTTAGCAGCATGGCCTTTACCCATCAGATGCTAGTGGCACTCCCCAAGTGTGACATCCAAAAATGTCTCCAGATAATGCCAAGTGCCCCTTGATGTGGAAAGTTGCCTCTAGATGAGAACCACTGCTTAGAGCCAGAATGCCTGGATTCAAATTTCAACACCATTTACTTGCTATATAACCTGGCCAAGTTACTTAACCAATCTGTTTCATGTTACTCATGTGTGAAATGGGGAATAACAATAATACTCATCTTCCAGGGAATTTGCAAGGATTATATGGGTTAATACATGTAAAGAGCCGAGAACAGTGCCAGCAGCTAAGTGCTACACAGCCGTTTTATTTTCTGAGGGTTGCGATCCGTTGCCGGTCACGAAAAAAGACAAAAAGGAAAAAAAAAAAACAAAAAACAGATTCTTATGGCTTCTATCTTCCTAAGAAGGGTAATTATTTGCATATTTTCTTTTGAATATTTTTATGTAATACTTTACTCATGTACATCTATTTGCTGAAAAATATAAAACCTATCACTTTACATAAAACCGTGTAGCTGCTGGAATTTTACAAAGTAATGCATAACACAAGAATCCATATACATGGGTCTTGGAGTCAGCAAGGCCTGGCTCAAACTTCAATTCTGCAATGATTAGCTATATCACCTATAGCAAGTTTTTTTAATCTCTCTGCATCTCAGTTTCATCTGTAACATAAGGGAAACAACCATCTAACTCAAAGAGTTTTAGAGCACCTGAGAATACAATGCCTCATCTATAGTTGGCACTCAATAAATGGTAGCTAATTTTTTAAGTAATTTCTATCCAAAGACATAAACTTAATATGACAAATACTGGCTTCACTGTCTCAGACAGTGAAAATTATCTCGTTAACAAAACTGCTTATTTTCTTGGAGACTATAAAGACTCCAAACTCCCACAGGAATTAATGATCAGCCATACTGCATCTTATGGACAGCATGAAAAAAAAGATCTACAGAGATGAACTATTATAATAGAAGACAATAAAAATACTACAAATTCATAACTATAGACAAGATATACATAATTATCTCTTCTGAATTCTAAATTTAAACTAAGTAAAAAATTAAACCTTATTCAGACTACAAAGTAATATTATAGTCTTCTTAGCAGACATATAAAGACCTTAAAAACCATCATTATAAGAATGATTTTAAGAATTCACAAATACTTTCACATTGAATAAATACAAACTAAACTGCCACAAACACTGCTGTTTGCATTACACAAAAGTAACTGAAAAGTGTTACCTTTTACTGGTGCACCATCCATTATTTCATATTTGGCGATTGTTTCTGTTTCTGTTGTGGTACTGGGTCCTAGTACAGTAAAGTAAATGATATTAATTTAAATATTTCCAGAATATCATTTCCAGCCTTAGTCCTTCCTGTTTTCCAACTACATTATTTTAGTACTAATTTATCTACACATTTTGTGAAAATGTTTATCATTCTTTCTATTTCTTGATCTACACTTAATATACTCATCACTCAACTGCATGTTTTGTTCCCTTCTTCCCAAAGGTAATAGTTCAGAAAGAATCTTCTTCACAAAGTTCCTTCCATCATTTCTAATATCTGCTAAAATAGAAACTAGCAATACACATCACAATAAATTACATGCTAGTTTTCTCTTCAACAGTGAAACTGTCTTCTATCAGTTAGTTAATTTAAACATAGACAAAACATCAAAGAATACTTGACTGATATACATACATAAATTTGGAGATTTGCCTTCTAAGAAATTATTCAAACCCAGACATTTTAAAAAGTCAATGATATGTTAAGTGAAAACTGTATACAAAACATACAGTAATGATCCCAATGTTGCAAAATATATAATTTGCCAAGAGAAAATCTGTTCTAGATGATGAATATAGATTATTTTTCTTTTATTTTTATTTATTTATTTTTTTGTGTAGCTGGCTGGTGTAGGGATCTGAACCCATGATCTTGGTGTTACAAGGTGGTGTTCTAACCAACTGAGACAATATTTTTCTTTTATTTAAAGTCTTCTATAATAGAATATAATTTTTACAGTCAGAAAAAAAAAGTTTAAATAAATAATTTCTTTTTAAACAACAAATGAGAACCTGAAGTTTGGTTTCAAAATCTTAAAATCACTTAAACTTTTATTACAGGTGAAAAAATGAAGATTAAACAAAATCACAGATGTTTATCATTATTACTAATGATTACAAATTCTTAAAAAGTTCCTAATAATCTCAAAAATTATTTTCAGCAAAAAAAATCAGCAAAGTTAAAGGGGACAAGATAAATCTATATACTAACAAATTGAAAAGCAGCAATGAACCAATAAATGATAATGAGGCAACTGATCAGCCATCTAGGAAAAAGTAATGTTGGATCCATACCTCATGTCCCTTACATCAGAACAAATTCCAATTAAAAATTTAAACAAAATAAAATCTCCAAACTACAATTTATTATTTTAGTAGAATCAAGCACAGAAAATTATTTTTAGAATTTCAGTGTGAAAAAGACCTTTCTAACCATGGCACCAAAGCCCAGAGGCCATAAAAGGAAAAACTGTAAATTTGACTAACTAAACATCAAGAATTTCTAACTTGGCATAAACCACCACAAGCAAGACAAACTGGAGAGAAATTTTTGCTACTCTTAATACAGAAAAAGGGATTGATTTCTCTAATACACAGTTCCTACAAATCAATAGGAAAAAGACTAATAGTCCAATAGAGAATTGGGTAAAGGATATGGATAAACAGTTTACAGAAAAGAAATACATATAGTTTTTACACACATGAAATGATCACCCTTAATCGGAATGAGAAAACCATAAATTAATACTACTATGGGGGGATATGTTAATTAGCTTGATTGTGGTAATCAATTCACAATATATATCAAAACATCCCATTGTATACCTTGAATATATTCAATTTTTATTTGCTAATTATATCTCAGTAAAGCTGGGGAGATGGAGAAGAGTCCATTAAAAAAAAAAAAAAAAACTACAGTGGGGTAGTTTTCCCCCCTACCCATCAGTTCAGCTAAAAGGTTTTATAACATTGTGCTGGTAAAAAGAGATACTCTCCTACATTCACTACTGACAGCAATGGAAATTGGTATAATTCCTAAAGAGGATAAACTGATAACATGCATCAAAATTATAAATGAATATGCCCTTTGACCCAGCAATTCCACTTCTAACATTTGATATTGCACACATGTCCACACACATGCAAAATGACATTATTAACTGAAGCAGTTTGTAATAGCAAAATACCGGAAACCTATATGTCCACCAACAGTAAACTGGTTCAATTCTAGTATATCAGTAGAATGGAATACTATAAAAAAGATGATTTCTACACACTGATATGGAAAGATTGCTATAATACATTATTAAATTAAAATGCAAACTATGTATTATATGTCACCATTTAAGTAAAAAGAGGGGCTGTAATATATTCGTATTTACTTGTATATGCATAAATGTCTAGAAGAATTTTAAAATTTATAAACGTATCACCTATGAGGAGCTGGGGTACAGAAATAGGATACTTTTTACTGTAGTCTTTTATACTTTATTTTCGAACCATGTGAATTTATTACCTATTCAAAAATTAATCTTTAAAAAAGCTTGAAGTGGGCCGGCCCGGTGGCGCACTGCTACAGTGCACCGCTTGGGAGCGTGGCGGCGCTCCCGCTGAGGGTTCGGATCCCACATACAGACCGGCCGCTCACTGGCTGAGCGAGGTGCGGGCGCAACACCGAGGGTTGCGATCCCGTTGCCGGTCCCGGTCCAGTACGGGCGCAACACTGAGGGTTGCGATCCGTCGCCGGTCACAAAAAAAGACAAAAAGGGGAAAAAATAAAAAATTAAAAATTAAAAAAATTAAAAAGCTTGAAGTGAATATCTTATTGCCAGCAATACTGAGTAGCAACGTTAGTATCCAATATGGGTATCAAATTTACTTAGTTTGTTTTATTTTTGGTGGCTAGCCAGTACAGAGGGTCGGGGTGAAGGGGCCCTGAACCTTTGACCTTGGTGTTATCAGCACCATACTCTAACCAAGTGAGCTAACGGCCAGCTCTGGATATCAAATTTATTTTATGTTTAAACAACACTTTAAGATTTTAAAAATTTCAACTAAAACAAGGATATTAATTCAAATACTCTCTTCAACTTACCAATTCCTCGGGCCGGCCCGTGGCTCACTCGGTAGAGTGTGGTGCTGATAACACCAAGGCCGCGGGTTCGGATCCCATATAGGGATGGCCGGTTTGCTCACTGGCTGAGCGTGGTGCTGACAACACCAAGCCAAGGGTCGAGATCCCCTTTCCGGTCATCTTTTAAAAAAAAAAAAAAAAAAAACTTAC